AAAAAAAAAAAAAAGCTACAGAAAAAAAAAATATACATTTATACTTGTAACTTCAGTTATATGGCATAAGTGTACTGGCAAAAATTAAATCTATTTTTCAACTTTACATAGAATGCATTGTAAATTTGAGAAGTGACAAGTCTTTCAAAAATACTTGATTAATGTCAGTCCCTTGAAATGATTCCCCAGAATATGGCAAGGGTGGGAAATGTTAGATATAATACTGTTAAACATAATCAGTGATCAGAACATGGAATTGAGTCTTTTTTAGATTATTATGTTTTATACTAAATTTAATTTCACCTTCAGTATCAACCTTTTGCACATCTTTCCTTCCCCCTTTTTTAATAACAAGAATAATGGCTACAGGGATAATTCATATTCCATACCTGCAGGGGAAGTAGTACTGTCTCCCTTTTAGAGCTGACAAAACTTGCAAAAAAGTCACAAAGCTAAAATGGAACAAGATTGAGATCACACACCATGTTCATTTCCCTTCCACTCTTTTGGAGTACAGCTCATTCTCCCTTCCCTGTCTGTGCTTATCTGGCTTCTGCTGCAGGAACTTTTGCCATGTTGCATGCAGAACATCTAAGCCCAGCCTATACTGTAGAATGAGAATTTGGGGGATTGGATGTATTCTATTACTTCTCTGCTTGTCAGTTTTTTCCCCAACAGATCCTGTGTTCTGTCTGTATTGTGTTGTGGTAGTAGTGCGTGCTAATCTTTTTGTATGACAGGAATCCTTTAGTGGAAAAATGATGCTTTTGAATAAGAGATGGTAAATATAGTATACTAGCAAAAGCTAGGGGAAAGGACACTTTAAAAACCACCTCTTAGACACAGTGCCTGTGACTCAGTGAGTAGGATGCCACCCCATATACCAAGGTGGGCGGGTTCAAACCTGGCCCCAGCCAAACTGCAACAGAAAAATAGTCCCAGCTACTGAGGATGCTAAGGCAAGAGAATCGCCTAAGCCCAAGAGCTGGAGGTTGCCGTGAGCTGTGATGCCACTGCATTCTACCGAGGACAACAAAGTGAGACTCTGTCTCAAAAAAAAAAAAGGGCGGTACCTGTGGCTCAAAGGAATAGGGGGCTGTTCACATATACTGGAGGTGGTGGGTTCAAACCTGGCCCTGGCCAAAAATAAATAAATAAAAACTGCAACCCCCCCCAAAACAAACATAAACAAAACCCCACCTCTTAGGTGATAAGACAAGTATAAAACATCAGTTGGATTAAATTTTTATGTGCATGTTTCATGGTGAGCAGGTCTATGCAAATCTATCCCCAAAGTCCAAGGAAAGTGAGCTGCTGAAGAGACTGACTTACTTATTTTCCCAGAAAGAAACATTTAGTAGGGCCTTGTGAACCGAAGCCCTGTCCCGAGCAACTGCAAAACTCTGTGGGGGAACCCTACCCCTTATGTCCAGAACCCAAGGCTTACATGCCTTAGGGAAGGAAGGTGTAGGACAAGCTCATTCAGCCCCTTAGGGCACTGGTTCTCAACCTTCCTAATGCTGCAACCCTTTAATACAGTTCCTCATGTTGTGGTGACCACAAACCATAAAATTATTTTCATTGCTACTTCATAACTGTAATTTTGCTACTGTTAAGAATCGTAATGTAAATAATCTGATATATAGAATATATTTTCATTGTTACAATGGGGTCACAATCCACAGGTTGAGAACCACTGCCTTAGGGAAAGGGAAGAATGCTCTGTGAATCTGACTAAGTGCAGATATGCTGTAATGTCGATAAAGTAGAAATCTTGGAGACAGTCCCCAGACAGGGCCAGAGGAGCTTCTGAGATGCAGTGGCCCTAGCCTCCACAATGCATGTTTCCAAAGCTGCTTGCCCACCTCAAAGTAAATGTCTCAGATGTTACTCCACTAAATTCTGTTTTCTTATCCTTGCTGTTACTTCCTTTAACCTACCTTGAGCCAGGTAGTATAGAAGTGTTACAAAGTCTCCAAAGTTGGGTGGAGTGACCTGACTGACCTGGGGTGTCAGTTCCTCATAAGGAACAGTGTGAGAAGTGGGCTGGCCTGATCCCTGCTATGACTAATGCTGTTTTCACACATTAGCTCGCTGGTATTAGTTAACCTAAAATCTATATTTTAGGGCTCATAAGTATTTAAAATATTGTTAAATGCTTCTGTTAACTTTGAGCTAGCTGGATTACTTGTGTGAATTCAGTCAAGTTTTCCTGTGCCTGTTTTGAGATGGTAGGACCATAGCTACCTATCTGTAGTGGTGAAGGCGCATGCTAATTCCATGCCATACCTTCCTATAACCTACTGTCAATGGTATTATTTTACTTAAAACTTTATAATGATTTCATTGTAACTGTGGTTCATAAATAGTTCAGATCCTGGGAACAGGCAACTAAAAATGTATGCTTGGCTTTTTTGTCCAAGAATTTTGAATGTCATTTACATTTTAGTTTAAACCCGACTCTGCATAAACCTAAAGTTAGTAAGGAATTTTCCAGTGAAATAATTTTTCACACTTAGGAAGTGGAATCCTGCTGTCCAGGAAACAAGTCTCTGGGAATAGCCTCATCTACCAGATTGCAAACAATGATGATTTTGCTTTGTATTAATGTATATTAAAAAAAAAAAAAACCTTTTAAAATACATGTTTAAGTCTGTCCAGACTTTAAGAATTGGGTTGGTCCATATTCATCAGGGAGTTAAAACTTTGTGAATTGTTATTAAGCCATTTTTTAGGTGACTGTAAGACAGTGTATTACTATGTAGAATAAAAAGTCAAGAGTGATACTGCAGTACATTCCTTCTTTTCGTTGCATTTCTCACTGGGAGAAGTATGTTGTTTTTACTTAAACCTTTTCAAGGTGTATTTTTTATTATTTAAATTATTTGTTTTGTCTTAAAAATAAAATAAATTGTAGAACCTTTAAATTTTTGATGATTTTACTGTTATTTTAGAATGTATTGGCATTTTAATTGTAATGTTAATTCTTGTTTTTTGAGTAATCATGACCTTTAGAATGGTGGTACCCTGATGGTGAACTGCCTTAGTGAAAACTAATAAAAGTTTGAAAGCTATACTAAAGATCATAAAATTAGACTTAAAACAAAAATCAAGAACTGAGGATGTAATAAAACAACAACTTTCAATGAAGTTGTTATAAATTGCTTCAGGGTCTTAGGAAAGCTATTTAGTAATTTGCATCAGGAGTTTTGATAATTACCTTTATTTTTGTCTCCAATATTCTACCCCTTACACATAAATTTTTAGAAGATAATGATGTTAGAGATTTACATATACAGATGTCTATCATGGATCGTGAATTATATTGAACAAATTGGAAGTAGCCTAAATATCCTATATGTAGAATCAGGCAAGTTAAATAAATTGTGCTAGATCTCTGAAGGAGTATTTTACTCCCACTAAAATTACATTTAATGAAGAATGTTATAACATGGAAAAACTTAAATGTAACTTTACTTTTACGTTTAAGACTACAAATAGTAGCTTTAAATATAATCTCAAAGAAAAATATATTAATTGAAGAAAGACTGGAAAAAATCTAGACTGACATTGGCTCATAGTCTATACTGTAATATATGTGTATTTATTGTCAGAAACATTTTAGAATTCTGGTGTTTATTTTGAATAGAATTTGTAGTCAGGAGGTTTCCTTCTGACATTCATAAAAATTTTCAGAAATAAAATAAAATGTGGTTGTGCTAAAAGCAGTTCTTAAAAGCTAAAGACTGTAACACCTTTGGTTATTTAGAAGTAAGTTACTTCAAGTTCAAATCAACTTTTTAAATGAGAAAATTCATGGTGTAATTTTACAAAAATCAACCCTATGGAAATAGCATAAGTGATTTAATACCTTTTGAAGGTTGAGTTTGCTTTTATGTTTCCCATAAGATTCCAAATGTAAACAGCATCTTATTTCAAAAAGTTACTGATTGTAACTCTTTCTTTATACTTCATAACTTAAATTAGCAATAATTTTTAAAAAGTTACAATTTACATCTAATTGGCACCACCAAAATGATTTGAATTTGGCAAGGAACAAACTTATTACAGTTGTTTTAAATTCATAGAAAAGACAATCGGGAATGAGTTAATGGATTTATAATCAAAATATGAAGACTTCAAGTATATAAAAATAACTTAAATATAAATAAAAATTTATTTTGTTGCTCTAAAACTGACAAAACTACTTTCTTTTAGTAATTATCAATGGTATTTTTAAAAGAAAATATTGCTACCTTTTCAAATATTTACATGTTAAAACAAGTGTTTATGTTTCTTATATTTTATAGATATTTGAGATATTTGGACCTGTTGCACATCCATTTTATGTGCTACGGTTTAATTCTTCAGATCATATTGAGAATAAAGGTATTAAAATAAGGGAGACTATGTATTTTGCTCCATCAATGGAAGACTTCACCCAGTATATATTCACAGAAAAACTTAAACAGTAAGCACTTTATTGATCTGTTCTTCACTTATCTAACCTTTGTATTTTAATTCTCACTGATAATGGTTTTCTTAATAGTTAAATAATGTCTGCCTTCCAAAGACTTTGTTTATATCTTCTGTATCTTTTGCCCGAAACGGTATGATCGGCCACTAGGCACATATTTGAGCCATGTCAATTTTCTGAATTCTAGTTCATTCTTTTTTTATATATTTTTAAATATACCTATACATATATACCCCCACACATATACATTTATATATGCTACTTCAGTATTGGTATTGCCACTTTTAAAAAAATTTTTGCTTTTAAATTAAATTTTCTTTGGAATGTATTTATAGTCTTAACTCTTTAGTAAAACTTTATAATTTTTCAAGAGAAAAAGAAAATGAGTACATCTCAGGTTGCTTCTGAGTTGTAAATTTATAAAAGAGACAATTACCATGTGTCCCTGAGCAGTTGTGTGTAAAGCCATGGGATATGAGTTTGACTCAACTCAACAGACCAGCCCATGGCTTGTGCCTAGGAATATTACATTTTACATATGAATGTATAAATGTAAGTAGAATGTTTTTTCTTTTTTTTTTTTAATAAAAATATGTTGATTGTTTTGGAAAGTGTGATGAATATGAGCCATTAAAAATGTTGTCAAAGTAGAAATGGGAGAAAAGACTGCCACAGATTGGGGAAGGGGAAAGGATCTTAAATCTAAAAAGACTTAGTGCTCAGTTTGACACACTAGTTCCTGTTAGTTCTGGCTCTCCTTTTATTGGAAACTTGGATCATAAATGATCCATTTTTATAGATGTGGTTTTGGCAGGAAATACAGAGAAACTTCATTCAGTAAGTAGCTTTGGTACTATATCAGAAGTATTTGTTCTAGTTGCATGGCATAAAAAAATCTCTATATACTACTTACATATTAAATCAAGTCTCTGAATTTTATTATTTCAGAGATAAAAATTGTGGTCCTGACAATTGATTAGATTGATGTTTAAGAATCCACATGATTATCTGAAGGAATATTTTGCCTAAGTTATTCCTTAGATTGTGTAAGGTTAATTTTCTTAGGTAACACAGACAAGAAAGATGAATTAAATAGATGTAAAGTGATAAATATTTTAATATGTTTTAAAATAATGCTGTAGATATTTAGGATTTCATTTTGCTTTGAATGTTTGAATACTGCTGTGAGTATGCTGTATATTTAGCTTTTAACCAATAAAACATTTTAATTTAAAGTAGATGAACTGGAGAAGGTTGCCAGAAGATATTTATTAAACACATTTTAACTAATAGGTGCAGTTTTTGTTTTTTGGGGTTGTTTTTTTTTTTGGAGACAGAGCCTCAAGCTGTCCCCCTGGGCAGAGTGCTGTGATATCACAGCTCACAGCAGCCTCCAACTCCTGGGCTCAAGCAAGTCTTCTGCCTCTGCCTCCCAAGTAGCTAGGACCAGAGGCGCCTGATGAAATGCCTGGCTATTTTTTTTGGTTGCAGTCATCATTGTTGTTTGGCGGGTCTGGGCTGGATTCAAACCCACCACCTTAGGTGTATGTGGCTGGCGCCTTAGCCACTTGAGCCACAGGCACCAAGCTGCAGTCTTTGTTTTTGATTTGCAGTTCCCCTGAAAAGAAATAAGAATAAATCAAAGAATTGGGAAATTAGGCCTCTCCTGCAGAAACCACACCTCAAAGGCTGTTCTATCCTAGACTGCATTCTGGTTCCTGCCCTGGAAGCTAGTAGAGCAGTTTTCCTTTCCAGATTGCCAGTCTCTAGTAAAGCAATCTAGTAAAGCGATTTAATCTTGGCTTTTCATGTATTTGCTGTCTTGTTAAAAGTGGCTTTTCAGCTGTGGTTTGATCTTTCCTTTAGAAGGTTTTGATTTTCTGTGATAGATGCACTAAATTTTTCTGATAGATACAGAAAGCTAAGTACTAGAGCTACGTTTAATACACAGGTATAAAATGACAATTGAGGAAATACACCTTTTTAAGTGATAGAAAATCATTGATAATTCCTTATATGTATAAGGAATTCCTTATATATAATAGTTCAGATTCAAAAATTTGGAGCAAACTTAGTGATTTCATGCTGTGCCAGTACCCTGACATCTTTATTTTAATGGCATTCATTTCTAAGAATTTCATTTATTTTTGAGATCTAGTTTAGAGCTGTGAGGACATCTAGTCCTAATACTTTGTAAAATTTTAATGTGATTAAAAAGACATTATCTGAAACTATGAAATTGGTAAGATTTTAAAAGATGAAATTGAAAATGAGTTTTCAGAAATTATAATCACATTCATAATATATATATTTACTTTTGTTGGTCATAGAATGTAGAACTTTCTGCCCAAAGTATTTAATTTCCAGCTGCTGTTGCTCATTTCATATGTGCCTGTCATGGCTCTGTCCTTCAGAATCTTTATGTCCTCCTTCACCTCCTCAAACTAGTTAACCTTTATTTCACCCTCCCTGATTTGGGTATCATAGTTAGCCTAGGTTGCTCATGGCAAATTATTGATATTCCTCAGGTAAATTCAGAAAAAGGGATTCATATTGTCATCTCTATCATCAAAATAATTCATTTTTATAACCTTAGTGCCTTGTACAGTTTCTCATCTGTAGTTGTGTTGAGTAAGATTTCGTTGAACTGAGTTTTATGAATATTTGAGATATCAGAGTAAAAATCTAAAGAAATGCTAACTCACTTTCCTCTGCACGCCAAGCTGTGACTTTTCATTCTATTTCCCTAATCCCAATATGTATGTGTATACAAATTCAGTGCTTTTCTTACAAGCTTCCCACATCTTCTTCTTTTTTAATGAGACAGAGCCTCAAGCTGTCACCTG